CAGATGCGATTGTGTCAATTAATTTGACAGGTCGGCACGCGTTTCGGGGACCTTAGTGATAGGCTTCATTCATCATTAATTCATTCATCCATTCACCTACTCACTTCCGAGCCACGAAAAGGGCACGTCATTGCTGGCTTACAGACCCAGTTCACCTCTTTACGAAGGTGATTGGACATCCTCGCTGCTTATCGCGAAGTGTGCCTCCTGAAATTTTTCTTATTATTCTTTAGCTTCTATTAATTACTGTGCGTTACAGTCTCCAGCAGTGGAAGATGAAATAATCGATCCACTAATACACGCGGATCTTTATGAGGAAGTTACAAAATCTGATCGATACGGTATCGATCCTAATACTTCCGTGTTGTCCGATTCACCCGATGATTCTGTAGGGATACTGAAGCACCTTCCTTTGGATGTTTGTAAGTCTTTTGTTATCCTTCTCATATAATTAGTGCATTCAATTTTACATAAATTATCATATTTAAGGTGATCTTTCCGCTAACTGCTTCCTTTATACGGCTGCAGTATTGGGAAAGCGATTCCTTTTGGCTGGATTAAAGGGCCTCAAAAGCGATCGTGATGTACGAATATCACATAAAATACTTGCATTGAACTGTATTACTACCATAGCGAAACATGAAGACCTTTCGAAGGTTACCCTTTTATTTGGTATGTGTCTTATTTCACTTTGTTTGATAGTTCTAAAAAATCGACGTCTTTCAAGTTACATTTATTCATCTGCTTTTTCTTCAGGTGATTTCGAGCAGAGCTTGAGCGAGGTTTCCCGCTTCATTCTTCATGATGACGATCAGTTATGCGCATCTACAGTTGCCTTTTTGTTCAGTCTAGACAAATATGAGACTGGAGCGACGGGTAGGTTCAAATTCAGTTCGGTATGAACGCTTGCCTTCATTTCTTTCTCGTTTACTTTCGACAGCATGCTCCTCGAGAGGGATCACTTTCTAGCGAGGTCCAGTCGCGTCAGTATCTGACGCGGCTAAGCCACGCTGTGCTGTCCAGGGAGGAGGGCGCAGTGAATGGTTGGCAGGTTGACAAGGTCATGATATGCCATCTGAGTGTGAGGGTGATAGAATTTTGCTTTCCTTAAAGACAGTCCCGTGCCCAGCTAGTCGTCCTTTCTTGTTTAAGTGATCAGTTCCGCAGTCCCCAATATTGCCTACTCTCGCGGCTGCACAATAAGTAGCGAAGTCACTGCGGCCCTCATAAGTATCAGTTCTGACGCCCCTCTAACTGTCCCTCCCACCACAACTCAGAGGCTTTTTTTCTGTCACTCAGTTTTCAAACAGATTTCGTTTTCAGACAACGCTCACAACTATCGCAGAGTGATGAGGGCTTTCCAACCAATAAGGAAGCGTTCTGTTCTACAAGCTGCAATAGGTCAACAGCACGTTCTCGAAGCTCT